GCAAATGGACAGTTGGTTAGGTCGTTATAACGCGTGTCATGAAATGCAAGGTGCATCAATATATGACGTCTTCACTCCATCTGGACACATGCTTGTTTTGGATCTTGAACCACCACAAGCACTATAAATTTCAAGTACTTTTTGTGTAAAGTTTCTCCATTATTTTTTCATTTCAGTGAAATGTCGGTTTCACGGATGCGGTTTTAGGCTGCAAGACTTTATCGTAAATATTTAGAAAAAGTAATTGAGGTTCTTCGCAGCCAGCTTGCAAATTAGATAGTTGTCCACATGCCCGGAAAAGCACTAGACTGTAGTTTCAGCCTGTTGGGCATCATCAGTAGTGCTCATCCATCGGATCCATCAGGATTCGAACCCATGACCACCAGCGGCTTGCACCGCCAGTCAGCAGCTCATGCCACTTGGCCACGGGGGACAGCTTCGAACCTTCATGATATACAAGCCAACTGCGATTTAGCGCGTCTTATCCTCCACTGCCATGCAAGTTACGAACCTTGCGGAAGACAGGTTTGGTCCCGAAAGACACGACGTCCACTAACAGTAGCTATGTGTGACATTGCATTCAGAAAATGTTAGGGCGGATATGTTTTGAAAAAATTGCCTTAATGTCATGTCAAACACGTGAGATTGGGCAATAGTTGTCCATTTTCACAATTCTTCGTCATTTTTATTGGAACGCACATAATTTAACTCTTATATGTTAATCGCGCTTCATATGCTTCTGTTTTCGTGCGAAACATTGAACCGCCGTGTACTTCGCAGCTTTCACCAACAGTTAGTAGAACTCAGGTGGAGAAAAAATCGCGTCTCGGCCAACAACATAGCACTATTTTTAATTCCTTATTCACGATCCCCCTATTTCCAAAGTAAGGGTGAATTTAGCAGTCTAGTTAATATATTTGACAGATTTGTTCGGTGGCTGGGTGTTACTTATAGTTTCTCTTCACAAAAGACTCAAAACATACAACGCACGCTTACCACATATCTTAGACTGTTTGCTACATAAACAGATCATGTAAGGATTAAATAGCTACTTTCCACATCGTCGCCTTGGTACAAAGCAAAATATAAATTTTCGAGTTTTGCCAGTATAGCAGAGCCACTAGGTAGTTAGTTCTCTGAGTTGTAAGGTATTTGAACTAACCGGTTCCCTAGCTCTTAAACATACTATCGAACTAACATTAGACGCAATAGGTAGACCTAATATCCTTGGAGGAATCCAGGCTTTGATTTTTTTTACGCTTATACAATGACACAGCAAACGGGAATGAGACGGACAAACCTTGATTTTTAAGCAATTTTTAACAAGCTCTCTGACATATTACATTATTTCAACGGACAGTTTTCTTGATGAATGAAAAACATACCGAATGCAGCATAGGCCGTTTCGTGGGTATGATCGCTTACGAAAATCATCACCACTTATTATTAACCACATGAAGCTAGTCACATAACACGCACTGTCTTAATCGCATGGGCCCTAAAGTCTGCAAGTGAAGTTGAACAAACTTCATGAACTTATAGCAGTCATCTGAAATACATGTTAATACTTTACTTATTGGCATCAATTTAGTTTCTGTGCCAAACGTTTGTTCACATTTCCTGACTTCGTCGCATCAGTTCATTGATGGCAAATAACTGCGAAATACGCCAAATGATCATTTTATCTAAACAATATAAACGAAACCTAGTTACATCTGCATTTACATCGGTGAGTAGTGGTGAGTAACCTTCGTGTTAGTTGCATCAAGGTAAACTATCCAGAGATCAATAGTGGAACTGTTCAACAAGGTCACTCTAAGTCCGCAGCAAGTACCTTCATAGGATGCAGATGATGTATGCAAAGATTAGAAGTAGAAACATTGTCGGAATTGTTCCATTAATAAATGTGCATCCCAAAAACACGTCGATTGTATCTAACGCAGCAATACCAAGGGATTAAGCAAACCAGTTGATTTGAAACCATGTTATTTTAAACAGAATAGCGCCAAGCATTGCGAGTTTGACGTCTGAGCCAACTAGTGGGCTTCTCAGTTCACATCTAAATTACCACATCAGACGGATGACCGATGGCTCTGTTTGTAAACACCGTTGCTTTTCTGTCATGTCAAACTTGTAATCGATGCGCGTGTGTAATTTTATATTTGTTTGTTTATATATTTCCCATTTCACTACGCTCCGTACATCTATACAGTAATAAGTAAGACTACTTCTACTTAGCACAGCTAAGTGCAAGCCCAGTTTTCGTTTTACGAATGGATTGCTGCGGACATCCTCAGTCTCAAAAACCATTGTGACAATCGTTTCCAGCCGTGGCTCATTGGCTTATTAGCAGACGTTTAGGCTGACAACGTATATGTGTCTGGTTCGAGTCGCAGCCTTGCTACCTGCCTGATGTGTATAAATAAATACGTGTAAGGGGAACGCCTTACATTCATTTACCCAGCAGATAGTTGGATACGCAGGTCCATATGTGAAAAGAAGTTAGTAGCTGAAACGCTGTGTGATACCTTTCTCCGGTTGGTAACCTAGGAACAAGTTTGAGTTATGGACGGATCACTTTCAGCTTACGCCATCTTCGTTTCAAATACACATTAGTTAATATCACAAGGCAAATTTAAATGGATTTAGATAGCAACCGGACCTAGTCGTGTGGCTAAATCCACTTGAAAAGCCGCGGACAGCCAATGCTTCATTCGGCGTGCGCATTATCCGCTTAGTGGTTTTAACCACATACTGTCATGAGATTAGGCAATATTTCGTGATCTCAGTAGTGGTTGCTTAGAATAAATCATTTCTTTCCTTACTCACTATGATTCTATCTGTCAGCGCTTGTTTAATGATAACGCGTTGGATAAAAGTCAATGAGCATACCTTACTGGTATGTGATAAACGGACTAAAAATGTGGTTGGCCACAATCGATCTGATGAGGAGCAAGTGTGTACGGTTAGTTCCACATCGAACCAAGCCCACAGTAAGCAACAACAAAGCAATTTGCTCAACGATTACCTAGTGTCCGCGATTGTTCTTATCATCAGTAATACACTCACATGGCATTTGCAAACTATTATGAATGTGAAATGAATAAAAACACATCGAGCATCCTGCACAACTATTAGGTGACAGCGCTGGAAGAGGCTACTGCGTTGAATCGGAGAAAACAGTACAATCCATTTTCATCCACGTAGCCGTAACTGATCAATCGGTCAGCATTTGACTGGAGAACGTAATATTATTTCCACTCTCAGGAGCTGGCGTTTTAGCCTCACATACAATAAGACCTCCTTAGTTGTATTCTGCGTCACTGCACAGTAACTGTGCCACTGCACATTTCGAAAATGCATGGGCTACTTAGGACTCATAACGGTCCATCAGTACTCACGCATCGTTGCCAAAACGATTAACATTAGCCCCAAATAATACATAACGATTCAGGATTAAACAAAAGTACTCCGCTTACATGAGGCTATTATATAAACCGTAGTGATTACACCAAAATACGAGTTTTCTTGGTATGTAGATAGCAGGAGGATGAAGTCTCGGCTTAAACTAGTACGATTTATAGGTGTGCAATCCAGTAGAAATTCTAACCATCTAAATAAATAGGTCCAGTTAAACAAGCCATAATTCCTGTTTTCCATGTTCTAAATCCATAAGAGGAGACAGTAGAAAAAAAGTCGCACTAAAAATAAAATAAGGTACCATTGAGAAGGAGTGCAGCGCATACATCTGCCCTCAATGAAAACGAAACTTTCCATGATTGCCATACTGAGAAGAACGCAGGTATAAAAAACAGTCCGCGATATCTCCAAAAGGAAATAATCACTTTATAACCATCTAAAATGAATCGCAATGACCTGTAAGAAATACAAACTGTCCAGTCATATACAAAGAACAAACCGCATGCGCGGAGATTCCATAAAATTGCCAATAATGTTTCGGAAAACTTTAAAGCAAAAATCAATATTTTAAATCAGTTCTACAAACCTTAAAAGAACCAATATGCAGGCTAAAATGTCCCAAATATATACCATTTTTTGTATGTTCTAAGTAGTTTCGAAGATACTAGTTACGTAATATTCGTTGCAACACACTTACTTCATAACAAAGGATGCTCTCGATCGTTTTTCCTACTGCTAGTTTCTCATAGGCACTGGGCCATCCACTGAAATGTCCATTTTCGAAGACCGATACAAGAAAGCGAAAATCTGCAACGAACACAAAAATGCCTCGATGGAAATTTTACAACTCAAAACGAGATAAACGAGCAATAAGCAAGCAGGATGTTAACACTGCAAGTTAATATAGGATATGAATACAAGTATCAATTAGAATTATGTAGCAAATGACAACCCTCATTAGCGATTATCGGGCGCATACGGTGCTTTTTTCCTAAGCAATAAATGGTAGGCTACCGGGTTACACAGAACTAATTTTTATTCAGTTTTGACTTCCTTCCCGCATCTGTAATGCGTTTTGTCATGCATTCACAAAGATCTTGAACGTATCTACTGTCAACTTAATGAAGACAAGCCTGTGACCTATGACCCAGAGGATTTCAAATGCAGTCTGAGGTCATGTTACATGAACTCTGACAAACAATTAATATGGATTAAGATTTATCATCGTTCCCTATGTGGCTCCTTATTCAAGTGTTCAACGAACATACAACGTTGACATTAATATAAATAAAATCGCGATATTACTTACACACATTTCCGACACTTGAACTCTCTGTAATGAATAAAAGAAAATATTCAACCAATAATGTCGCAATGCAATAAAGTGCAGGATTACGATATTGACGTTAAGCCATTTATGATTTCATTTGGTATTGGAATATTCTGCCTTTTTGATATGGATCTTTAGTTCCACAGGTAAACGCGGATCCTTACTTAGCGACAGTTCGGAAACTCGACTGTGGCAATGAGAAGTTTTGCATAATCTCCCAAATGTCCAGCATATTTAACTTCAGCTAATGTTAGAACTTACCTTCTAGCTGTACTTTGCCCACAACAGGTCCTCTTTGATCCTTGCACTTCTCCGTTACGTTGTCAAACAATTCACTTAGTTGTTTCGCCAATTCGCGCTCGTTCACGCTTTGTAGGACGTTATAAAAATTAATGTCCAAAAGCGCTTGATTAGGGTGACCGAGCAGATATACCATCGTGCAATTCACCTCATTTTGTGGGATATTTTCAAGTGAACTCATTGCTTTCGTGATCTGAACGGAAATGTTGTAGGTGACCGCTAACGGTGAAACGATTAATGATGTATACATAACAATCATAAAGGTTTAACTTCCATAATGTGACTAAGCTGATAAAACGTGGAAGATATATGTCAACGCCACTCACCGTATCACATACGTCTGTTTTTATTTTGGCTGCTTGGGGGTAGCATTGGCATCCCAACCCCTCAACCCATTGCATTCTCTCACCGCGTTTCAGAATAATTCCCGTTACTTCGAAATCTTGCACGAAAAACAATAAGTGAAGAAATGTTTAAATTACATGATTCCGATATACAGCTGCGAGAAATCGTTAGACAATATTTCGTTAATAAGTCCTGTCATTTTTAACCTGTCGATGAAATGCATCCTATGCTACAGTCGATTGTTGTTAAAAGCGTTGCTCATCCCGTTATGAAGCAAAACAGTTTACTATAAAGAGCAAAGTGCTTACCATTTTCAAATGCTTGCTGACAACGTGAAGCGATGATCACTAAAGCAAGAGCAAATGGCGGTCGATTATATGAAATTCTTGAAGCTGTCAAATTTCGTAGTAGTTAAATAGGTAGTATTGTTTCAAACGAGTAAAATTAGCTTTGTTCTACCTATTAGCCTTCGCATAACCATTGGTGTATATATGCTCAATTGATCCGTAAAGTGGTAGATTTGGCATAATAAATTCACGTTTGCTGGCCACTCAGGTTGCTATAGGAACTGATATTTATTGACAGTAGGCACTTTGTCACAGTTTTGCATTCGATGGGGTTTCCAGGTCGTTCACTGTTGCACTCGTGTTCACGTCTTACACGCTGTCTACGTCCGCGTTCAACGGCAAGCTTCATCATTGCTTATGTCAAACTTTCTGTCAAAACTGCTCTCGCAAGTTATTTACACATGATTACAACAGCCGAACATTAACTTTTTCACACCTTATCCATTGAAATTACCTGAAATTACGGTATGGTGCAACAATTGTTCATACATCAAACAGATTCCAGCTGCTTATTATAAACGTAAAAACCGACCCATTCACCGTGCTTCAGTTATTTTTATATCGCAGTATCGCGATAGACAAACACAATACATGAAAACCTATGGATACCAGTAATAGGTCAGTACAAAGCTACGGGCAATTTAGGGGCTCAATATGTGTCATAATCTGGTTATTACTCAATAGCATAAGTTTAGCTACATGCTGGGAAGTGTGGCTATACTAACATAGTAACGAGTTCGGAGTTATTACGTATTCGTAAATCAGTCAGCATTGTTTAACCGGATGATAACGTAGGTGAATTGATCGCAAAATTTACATCACTTGCACTAATTTGGTCACAGCAACCCCAGTTGTTAAATTTACGAAAGACCCATTTATGTACTAGTAAGGTAAATTTGAGGTCTATTACTTTTTCTTAGGGATAATTATATCAGGTAAACGGAGCAACTCATGCAACTTACAGAACACAAATATTGTCAGATCTTTCAGAAGCATGTTTGTCCGCAAATATTGCCGTGAGGATGTGTAAAGCCTATTTATACCAGATGAGAGCGGTTGGTTGGACCCAGTACTACGCACACATGGAAAGACCCAAGTGTTCCTCCTCGTTAAAGCTCATGTGGTGTAATTGACCATCCTATTCACTTGCTCCCAGAGCTCACACCCATGAACCGTAAGTGGACGAAATGGAGAATAGATACAAGGTGCACGTGCCTTGAGGATCACAGTTGGACACAATTTTCAGATACGTGGCACAAAACTACCAAAATTACCGGTGCCAGATATTCCATATTTGAGCGTACCCTAAGTAGCTCAACTTATTGACAGCCGATTAGGCTACGTGCATCCAACTGTGCACTGCTTGGAGAAAACTTTACTGAAAGGAAATGAAAACGACCGAAAAAGATTTAACTTGTAAAATGACATAGATATTTTCTAGTTTGTTACCTAATGTGAAGGAAAAGTTGATGCAGCTGAAGAACTCATTTGCAGTCGTTATTTAACAATTGGTTTCTTCTAACAAATTAACCTTCATAAATGATGTCTCCTTGTAATATTCCCATTTTATACAAGTGTGATTTTCCGCTAAACTATCTCACTTTGCCATTGGCCTAGCGCCCACGCGATACACCAGGTAACCAGCATTCAGTTATCACGTCATCTTGCAAAGGTCATACAAAAATTTGACTTAAATGGATCATGGGTTTTTCCCGCTAGAAAACCTTGCATTCCGCAATACGTGTCAAACTCGAGTAATCTCATTAGATAGAGATAGCAGGCATTACAATCCGGGGCCTAAGGGACTTCGACCGAAACCTCTGCTACTAAGACACCAACTGGTTTAAAGAGGGTTCATTTTGAAGTACATTTGTCCTACACTCATTAGCATGACTTGTTGTTCAAACACATGCAAACCATGTGTGCACTCATTTGCGAAGGGACATGGTTATGCGGCATAAATACGCACAATAAACCTAGAGGACCGGAAACCTGATGCGTTGATAGCTATCCGCACTCCTAAATAACCCAGCCATCGCAATGAGACTGGAACTTAACGTGCTGTGATGGTTTGTCTGTCTCAGCGATCCACTGGGTAGTGCTGCTTGAAGCCTTTCGCATTTTTAGTCACTCATACTAGGATGGTCAGTCGCTAGAGGTCAGACAAACCCAGCCTTATGTCGTTACAGTTTGTTGATTATAGTGAGGGTGGTCGCCAATTCCCTAAAACCGACTCCTTGCAGCCCATTGTCAAAACAGTGCCTTGTAGTCAGGTTTCTTAACTAAAGGCTTTGATTGAGAACACTAATCGTTCTGCTGTTAAGCCTTAGGTAACCTAACATCACCTTGCCCACTCAATACAGTGAATCTCTTTCAACAATTCCTAATAAGTGGGCTCTTTTTGTATCACCTTTGACCTACACACATTAGTATGACGTACGCGGCCAAACACCAGCAAACCAAGTGTGGCTAATGAATGAATGCATAGTACACTCATTAGTAACGGACATTGCTGCGCCGCATCAAGAAGCGCAAAACTGCATTGGAGGACCGATATAGGGATGCGAATGTCCCCATCCGAATTCGCATTGCTATCTGGCCTCGTAGGTTATGTCACACCAGACCTGGTCAGAATTTACCACCTAACACATGAGCACGACCAAGATGACCAATGATAATCGAACACTGGTAATATTTGCATCAGTGTTTAACAACTAACTTTACAACTAGTCGCGAATTAAACAGTACTAATAGTAGGTTGTCCGGAAATATATCTTGGCATCCGGAGAATGGGCTAGTTAATGCCGTCTCAGGGTAATTCCCGAACTCCTTAAATTATTGGAACTCGACTCCATGTAGATTATTTGTGAATGATCTGTATTGCATGCGAATTAATTTAGTCTCACTCATCTTGAATCAAATAATTGCTTCTTCCAGATGACACAGCCATAATACAAGAGACAGCAAAATTGGCACACTCTACTACTACTATGTTGGACAGAGGACAGTCTAGTGAATAGCAAAGAACTTTTAGCAGCACAGCACGATAATCTGACCCCAAGCAATTTCTATCATTATGAAGCTTCCCAGGATCATAATCCTTTTACTTATTTGGTGAGCAAAGGTAACCAGTGATGATTAGTGAAAAGTGGTATTTTATACTTGATGGCTGTCATTAACGAATTATAGAAGTTCTACAATCGATGTCACATACAGAGAACCATCACTATCCGGGGGTCTTTAATTTCTTCAGATGAAACTGCTTCCCTACTATACATATATGCCGTAAGTGTATACTCTCTTTAACTACTCCCATGCACACTGCTGATGGTACATAAACCTTAACTTAGAGTGACCTTGTTGAACAGTTCCACTATTGATCTCTGGATAGTTTACCTTGATGCAACTAACTCGAAGGTTACTCATCACTACTCACCGAAGCAACTGCAGATGTAACTAGGTTTCGTTTATATTGTTTAGATAAAATGATCATTTGGCGTATTTCGCAGTTATTTGCCATCGATGAATTGATGCGACGAAGTCAGGAATTGTGAACAAACATTTGGCACAGAAGCTAAATTGATGCCAATAAGTAAAGGATTAACACGCATTTTAGTTGACTGCTATAAATTCAAGAAGTTTCTTTAACTTCACTTGCAGACTTTAGGGCTCATAAGATTAAGACAGTGTGTTATGTGACTAGCTTCGTGTGGTTTAGTAATAAGTGGTGATGATTTTCGTAAGCGATCATACCCACGAAACGGCCTGTGCTGCATTCCGGATCTTTTCATTCTTCAAGAAAACTGTCCGTTGAACTAATGTAATATGTCAGATAGCTTGTTAAATTTGCTTAAAAATCAAGGTTGGTCCGTCTCGTTTCCGTTTGCTCTGCCATTGTATAAGCGTAAGAAAATCAAAGTCTGGATTCCTCCAGGGATATTAGGTCTACATATTGCGTCTAATGTTAGTTCGATAGTATGTTTAGGAGCTAGGGAACCGGTTATTTCAAATACCTTACAACTCAGAGTACTAAGTACCTAGTGGCTCTGCTATATTGGCCAAACTCGAAAATTTATAGTTTGCTTTGTACCAAGGCGACGATGTGGAAAGTAGCTATTTAATTCCTACAGAATCTGTTTATGTAGCAAACAGTCCAAGATATGTGGTAAGCGTACGTTGTATGTTTTGAGTCTTTTGTGAAGAGAAACTATAAGTAACACCCAGCCACCGAACATAAAATAGCTGCACATCTGTCAAATCTATTAACTATACTGCTAAATTCACCTTTATATTGGAAGTAGGGGGATCTTGGTAAAGTAATTCAAAATAGTGCTATGTTGCTGGCCGAGACGCGATTGTTTCTCAACCTGAGTTCTACTATCTGTTGGTGAAAATTGCGAAGTACATGGCGGTTCAATGTTTCGCACGAAAACAGAAGCATATGAAGCTCAAATAACATATAAGAGTTAAATTATGTGCGTTCCAATAAAAATGAAGAAGAATTGTGAAATGGACAACTGTTGCCCATCTCACGTTTTTGAAATGACATTAAGACAATTTTTACAAAACATATCCGCCCTGACATTTTCTAAATGCAATGTCACACATAGCTTCTGTTAGTGGACGTCGTATCTTTCGGGACCAACCCTGTCCTCCGCAAGGTTGGTAACTTGCATTGTAGTGGAGGATAAGACGCGCTAAATCGCAGT